CGTTCCATGACCACTTGACATTTTTCTTGAGTAACCAAGAAAGATGCGCAGTCATTTCGGCATAGTTGCGCGAGTAATCGTGCAAGTACGTCGCTAATTCAAGAAACATCTGCAGTTCCTTGACATTAACTAGCACAGACCGGTCAATGATCGCCTCGATCTCTTCGGGATCGGTGTGCACTCCGTGCTTACTCACGATGCACCCAAGAAGTGGTATTTCGCCAGACGCAAATATACACTTCTTGAGGTTGGCATATAACTTATGCTTGCGCATAAGTTAAAGCACCTGACGAACTTGAGTTCAGTGAACATCAACATCCGTATTTCTGTTCATCGCCCGGCCATGGACGAACACATTGTCCAAGTAACTCGTTGCGAAGTGTCGCACCGGTCTCAACCGATTTGTTACACACCTGTCGAATGTTGCAGGGGCGTTACTCAGCCCCTGTAGCATCACTAGTCCCTCAACAGCATGCCGCTTGGGGTGCTCAATGCCGTGTACGGAACATCCCGTTCATGCATGAGGATCTGGTAGAATCCACCCAACAGATCCAAGGACGAGGAGATGGTACATATAGACATACCATCTATGATTACGTTCTTTTTTGGTATCGGCGTCTACGCCGGTATCGTAGCAGAATTCAACTCGTTAAATGCGTGCACTGTCCTCCATCCTCCTGTTGTCTTTCGCACATTGAAGGTCGGAGAGATGTGAGGAGAGGTTATTTCCCTCACATGGTACGTAGACAAGCGATCGGTAAGGAACTTATGGATCGCTTGAACGTAGTCATGAGGCAGTGGCCACTGCTTCATGACACAACATTTCGAGCCCGGATTGAGCATAGTCTTGTATCGAGTTCCTTTATCCTTAGGCAACTCGCAAGGCATGGGTTCAGGGAACACATCCTTGAATTCGATCAAATCCTTATACAAAGGATTTGCCTGAAGCGACTTCCAGGATTGAGATTCATATCTCTCAATCCAAGTCTTCTCATCGATGACACTTTCGTCCATCGATGAACTGCTGAGAACCCTCTCGGTCTCAGTAAACACCGTTGCCGATCGAATATCGGTAACGTACTTGTCCTCCGAGACGAGTTAACAGGTCTGCTTGACTTAGCCACTACGTAGATCACGCAAGAACCGTTTCAGTTCTAGCGTTGGCAACTGGGTTAAATCCAAAGTTAACTTCGGAGGCACAACAAGATCGAGCGTGTAAGCGCCTACGCCTGATACTTTATCAAAAAGACATGCAATTTCTCGATTACTTCCTGGGACGTAACATTCACAGGATCTTAAGAGCTTTCTCTACAATGTAGTGATCATCTACATTGTGTTCTTGTACAGTCGTGCTAACGACCTTACCACGAGTAAGGCCATCGCACTCAATTGCAGTACACCCACATGAATGTGGGCATTCCAAGACATTCTTCAGATGATCATCTGATGAACAAGTGGCAGTCATTATTACTGGTCTATAATACCAGCTCACCCTTGGATCGTATGTCTTGAGCCAAGGTATTACTAGGATGACGTCGAACATGTCATCCAGATCCAGTACGATAAAATCATCATCGTATTGTTCGCCTTTTAACGTGTAGTGGATTCCGACTACACGTTTCTTCACAGTCATCGACGCGCCTGTCGCTAGGCGCACCGTCATCTTCGTTGGAGGGATCCCCCGCTCCACGATGTTAATACTTCCTGCCTCTAGCGACTGGCGACAAACAAAGTTGTTCACCGCCCCACAGTCAACAAGGTCGCGATGTGACAAGTCTTTTGTAACTTCCAATGTCAAGGTCATGAGGAAAACTTCATCACCAGGTGCAGAGACACAAAGAGAATGTGTGTCGGGAGCAACCTATTCAGAAATTTTTCAAAATATCTTGATGTTGCCGGATCAGTAGGACCTTCCGCCCCTACTGACCCCGACCTTTTTTGATGGTCTGCTTCGCTGTTGCGGCTTTGCAACATCATCAGAACATCGTCCTCCAGTTCTTTAAACTGGTAGTAGGTTACTGCACTCAGCAATACGGGGTTCTAAGTGGGGGATACTGCATTCGTATTCATAGTTTCCCAGCCTGCGACAGCGATGGCATCTCAACATTCGCTTGTCGCTCAGAAGGCGAGGTTTCTAGCCCTCGACATGACAGAGGTCCATTGGTTCTGAACCTCCGGCCGCCGGTCGTCTATGTGGACGATGGGGGGTCAGCGTAGTGTGAGTCTGTCTCATACTAACGTCTTCCTGATCCGCAGCGTAGATTGCTTCGGAGGTCGTCTTTAGCTCTCCGCAAAACAGGTGGTCCCGGACGGGACCATCTAGAAGACCCCGAATGAATATTGTGATCTTCACAAATTCACTTACAGGGTTCACTACCATACAACTTGCAAGTTATAGTACATGCTGAGCGTAAGCCTGGGTGGCTTAAATGTCTCATTGAGCAGGGTCATGAAGATGTCTAACGACCTAAACACGTTCGGGATGTGTAATTTAAGATTTAGGGCCCAATTTCTCACGACCTCGGCCAAGTAAGACTGAAAAATTGCGACTTGCATTCGCTCATCGTCGATGCGACTGCCTCGATGGCACCGTCGACTTCGACGAACCATCTTAACAGTAAGTCGTTCTCGACTCCGTAATACTTCAATGTCTCTAGATTAAGTAACTTTTATCGACGCTCACGCGTCGACTGTGCGGACTGAGACTGATGCTGTCTCAGTGCTTCATTCCGCATGTGGTCTTGTTGTTGCAACAAGGTCACCTGCACTCGCGACTCATCAAGTTCTCGTTGCAAGAACTTGCTGACTACGGAATGCTGCTGGTTTCTACCCCTTGTGGATAGCACGGCCTAGATAACATCTTCTCTAATGATCGAACTCATTCTTTCGACCGCACTACATTCTATACCTCTCAAATGGGAGTTGCTTTCACGGGATCCGTGAAATTCGTTGCCGTCAACTTCGTCCAACATGTTCATGTTGGGCGGTGCGAGTATGATCCTTGGACGGACTACAAAGTGCTACCAGGTGTTACGGGGCACTGACGACTACGTACTGGTCAACCAGTACGAAGTGAAATATCACTGACTGGAGGGATAGTCAGTGCCCAGCTAGGTGTTGAACTACACAGGGGAAGTATAGAACGACTAGGGTTGAGGACCATAGTCGTGGTATAGTAAAACTGTTATTAATATAATCAAGTCCTACCACTCTTGTGTCTCTGTTTATCCTGACTTGATTATATGAATATAACTAAACGTATGATGACGTCTACTCACCACCCATTGCGCACGTCTAGCAGCAATTGGTGGGTTAATATCATTACGATATCAACCAATGAGTAGACTCTTCGGTCATCCCAATAATATCACCATGCTTTCTAATATTGTAGAAAGGTTATTCAACGTAATATTCTTTATTGTCAAATTGTTTATATGACAATCTCATGTAACGGGCTACCCCGTTACAATCACGATATCAAACGATGAGTAAACTCTTCGGTCATCCCAATAATATCACCATGCTTTGTGATATTATTAAAAGAATATTCAACGTAATATTCTTTATTGTCAGATTGTTTAAATGACAATCTCATGTAACGGGCTACCCCGTTACAATCATGATATCAAACGATGAGTAGACCCTTCGGTCATCCCAATAATATCACCATGCTTTGTGATATTATTAAAAGAATATTCAACGTAATATTCTTTTTTGTTAATTTCATCTAAATGACAACTCCAAGTAAAGGGCTACCCTGTTAAAAATATAGCACACCATGGCTCCGAGATGTGATTGCACATGTGTTGATCAAGAGAAGGAGGCTCTCAAGTCCGCCCGCCTCTGCGCTTGCTGCTACCTCATCTACTGTGATGTGGTCCCCGCAATTCACGTCGTCAAACGTTACCCTTCTACGGAGTTTTTCTAATTGTGGTATTGCGCTGCGGTCCACGCATTGCCGCCTCGTCAAATCAACGAAATTCTTTGAGGCTATCGTACGAGGACCGTCTCGCATGTAGCGAAAGACAGATCTAGTGTTGCCTAGTTTGCAACTTGCTGCGTGACTAATGTCGCTAAGCAGATATCGACTTTCTGATCAGCAGTGCAAGTGCTGGGTCTAGCCACTGTCCGCGCGCTATTTTTATATTTTAGAGCCTGTCGACTCAATCGGCCCGAACAGACTTTTGGACACTTCAGCCGATGTATCACGCCAATGTGGTCGGCAGGTCTGCTACCAACACGCTTGAAACCGCAAATTCTGTCGCTTCATGCTGTCCAAAAACAGAAGGTCTCGATGAACGCTATCGTATCGTTGTGATGTCTCGATCGGTGCTGCTGAAATTACTCGCGATGTCTCGACGGATGATAGTGGACCGTTGCATACCGAATAAGACCGACCGTTGGTCTCAAACGGTGTGCTGGAAGAGGCATAATAATACGTACCTAACAGCTGCATTCCATCGCTTTCACTCTTATCTGCCGCCCTTTCGCAATTGTTCAGTTGTACCGTATGTGTGTACTCTAGTTTGTTCACGTTCGTCTACCATCACGGGATATACCACGCAACAGGCAGCTTGTACCAGCTTACCATCAGTGCTGTTGTTTGTCAACGCTTCAGCCTGGACCAAATCCCCTTGCTCATTGAGCCTGTGAGATAATCTTGTATCAGCGGCTTGACTACCTTGGCATCATATGGTATACACGCGGGACAGTCTGTGCAGAAAGAGGATACATACGACCACATGTGCAACTCGCGGGAGAGGCTGTCCTAAATCGAGCTTCGATGCGCAAGCGGTTTCCATCTGTGATGTGCTGCTCGCTCTGAGCAGCGCATCAACCGTCTGGAGCAAACGGAACATCTAGCTCGGAAGATGTTTATTTGCGCAACGTGGCAAACCGTCGAAGCAGCAGACGTCGACAAGACGGGAACTTGTTTCCGGTACCATTGTAGCGCTCTTCATTTTCCAATTCCCCCGCTAGAAGACACGACGAAAAACACCATGAAGACCGGCCTCTTCGTGTATGCCGCTCTCTTCGCCGCAACTGTAGTGCAAGCCCACGATGCGTCTCACGACGTCGTGAAGAACGTTTCCCCTGTTTCGAATCCCGAGTCAACTCCGGATGTGGTGAAGAGGATGCTGAAGTCGATCAAGCACAACGACGTGAAGCCGTTTCCTCAGCCAGAGCCCACGACATTGTCCGAGAAAGCGGGCGTCAAATTCAAACCTGAGCTCCACATTACTAACGGATGCGCCTCGTACCCGTTCGTGAACGCAGCTGGTGAGATTGGCGGCGGTCTCGAGAATAGGGGATCTTCGGATGGCCAGTGCAAGGGATCTGGGCATGGGTCTCAAGTCTACGGACGCTCAGATTGGTACAACAACAAATGGGCCATCATGTACTTTTTCTACTTCCCGAAAGACTCGCCGTCTCATCTTATCGGCCGTAGCCACGGCTTCGAGCAGGCCATTGTGTGGCTTGAAAATCCTGCCACGAGCACATCGGTGCTGGCGGTGTCGCTGACGAAAGGCCTTAAGTACTCGAAGAAGGTTGGACCAGACCTGAAATACCTGAACGGGACGAGTGTCAAACTCAGCTACGAGAGGGCAGGTCCATTGCGCTCTCACGTGCTCAGACTAACTGAGAAGGCTGGTGATTCCCTGCCTCTGATCATGTGGGAGCAGCTGCCTCAAGTGGCTCGCGATGCGGTCAACGCTTTTAGATCGGAAGGAGATAAGGTACCCATCAGTGACAGTGAGTTTGTGGAAGAGTTGGGAAAGGCTTGGCCATTCAAATAGTGATTTGATCTGGTGAATGCGGCTTTCGTTAGAGCGTGTCTTAACACGTAGCACGCGCGCTCGTGTTACGAGCATTCAGGTACGTTTTCTCCTTGTCATTACACGGTAAAAGGAGCCCTCTCAAGCCCTCTCAGAGCGGCTCCTGGTAATCAAGTTTGCACTCATTGTTGGTCTTCCTGATACATAACGATTGTTGGACTTTTGTGGTAAATTGATGAGCTGTTTATTTGTAATTTAAGGCGGCACGTAGCAAAGCAGTACATTTACCTAGTGTAGATTGTTGGTACGAGCGCAATCGTCACGCACGAGGGATGGAATTGCGCAATAGGTTTAGATCACACTGACGCTACGATATCGCCCCTTTATTTTTCAGGTTTTGAGTCATACACGGTGAACTCAAACAATGTCCGGATAGAAATGAACGATTTATGTACGTATGAACTTCGCATCTCGCCGAATTTGTTAGCATGCGTCTCACCGTTCGCCGAGCCTTCGACTTGCATCGTATCTGTCTACAACCTGCATGAGTACCGCCTCTCTGTACATAGCACCGATGAAGCGGAGGTTATTGATATTTCGTTTGAATGAAAATTGCTAACAGGTCCAGTGTAGCGGGGCAGCCGTTACATGGAATTGTCACTTTAAGGAAAGTGACAATAAAGAATATATAGATAAATATTCTTTAAACAATATCACCAAAGTGGCGATATTGAAGGGTCGACCAAAGAGTCTGTTCATTGGTTGATATCGTGATGATATCAACCCACCAATCGCCGCAAGACGCGCGCAATGATTGGTGACAAGACGTCACCATACATCCAGTTATATTAGTATAGTAAAGCTAAGTCAAACAGAGAGACAGTAGTTTAAAGACTTAATTATATTAATATAACAGTTCTGCTTTTACCCTACCTACGCTTCCTCGCTTGCCACGTGTACGTCTGTCGGGGCACCGATACACTTGCGTTAGGTTACGCAAGGGTGTGCCCCGTTACATCCAGGGTAACGTAAAGTTTAGCGAGATATCGATAAAGTGATCAAGAAGCGGCAAATGGCCAGCTCAACAACATCCCAACCAATGAAGTGCCCCGCAGGTGCTTTTTGATAACAAGTAACATAGATTAAGCAGTTCAATCTCCCGAAAGACAGTACAGTAGAATTTGTTTAGTATGTGACTATATAGTTTAATCGTCGACATTAATTGTCAACACACCTTTACCCCGAAATTGTTGGAAGTGCAAGTTGCACTTGCATCGGCTGCAAAAATTCAACCTACGCTAGGGCATATACGGAAAGTTCTATAGGCTTCTACGTGTTGTTTTATACACCACGGATATTTGGGTTGGGTAGTTCTCACTTATATTGACAAGCCTGACGAGGTCCCCAACAATTGAAGGGTCAAAATTCAGAAACTATGAAATTTCGATTATCTAATTTTGGCACAATTTGATGTCTCTTTGTCAAAGTGCCGCTAATACAAACAACGCTGTTCAAAGAAGAAACTTGGACATGATAAATGATGTGAAGCACTACGTAAACATGTCTGGAGTAAATCGCCTTCTTGTTGCAGCTATGCTGTTTTGGCCAACCCCGACTGCTTTCAAAGCATACAAGATACTAGGCTTAGGCGGTTTCTTGCTGTCATCCTGCTCGTTCTCAATTTAGGCTCTAAATTAGAAATGTACAACATTAGTTGCTCAGCAGAATAATCCAGCAGGTACCAAACGTCTATCGGGATAATATACCTGAATCTGTCTAAAATCGAATGATCCACTTCTTTCCTAGATAATTTATCCTCGTACTGCTACCCACGTTTATATTACTCACGGACTCTAGGTGCCTCGTCGGTATCGAATCGGAAATTCGTTTGCTTAACAAAGCATCTAAAACTCTCAGTGAAGAAATCTTGGGTACACGCTGAGACTGTCATTATGTATCATGACGGATGTCGATTTTTAGCGGCAGGTAGAGAGCATCATCTAGACTTTAAGCGAGAACAACGTATAAAATGCGCCGATGATACGTTTTTTGGTAGCGTATGATTGCCAGATCACATCGCTTTAACCTTAACGTACTGTTAAGTAGAACAGTATCGGCGCTCCGAGGTTTTGTCCGCTACGAAACATTAACAAGTAGAATGTGTGCTACAATTTTCCAGGGTTCGCAAGCCTTTTATTTCCAGTACTTTTTTCGAATCTCCTCAGACATGCCGGAAAATGACTAGCGTCATCCGCGCTCTCATTTCAGCGGTACTGATATCCAAGATTCTGAAATTTGAATGATCTTGCAAGTACAAGTGTCAATAATGAATTGAGTATTTATTGTATCTGGTTTTTCTTCAGGAGGCGAAAAAGTCGGGGAGGTATAGTGAAGATAAAGCTTTGTAAAAATTAAGCAGATCAAGTCTTGGGCATGGCAAAAAAGCAAATACAGCTGCATTGTCATCAATTCATTGGCTTCTAATGCAGCGGAGCGACACAGATCCTTGAATCTGAGGAAGGAATTAACGCACAAATAGCCACTTTGGCTCACAGAAGCCGACTCAGAGAGTCAACAAGCTCGAGGAGCTGACGGAACCGGTTCCAGGGGACCGAAGATTCATATAATTACAGCAGAGAGTGCTCTTAGAGTAGCTATCCTTTGCAAGGCGTTGCTACGCTCTTAAATATCTCAAGACGCCTCATGAGGAATATATCTTAAGTGGTCAAAAGGGGAACTGAACCTTATTTCTTTTTTATCGAAAAGATTACCTCAGAATAACGAACTTAGTCCAGACACTCATGTTCTAATTAATATCTCCTGAATGGATCTCGTAATTTGATAGCTTACACGAGTCAGCCTTCGACAATTGATATGGTGTTCGAATATCATCTTCATTGGGACTCCGTCCCAAGCGTCATTCTCAATGTTATGTAACCCACACATGTTGTGTAATTCATACATGGGCTGTGCCCCGTTACATCTGTAAATTAGCGTGTCTCATCTATTATAGGACTAGAAGATGAAACGCTTAACATAGAAAGACGATCGTGCAATTTGGAACTTGGTAAACGATACGAGGCAATGCCGCAAGCGTGGTCTCGTTGATTCATATAGCGAGGTCTTGCTGAAAAAAGTTACCGCACCAGATTTCCGGCAAAAAGTCCTTTAGAAAGATTAAAAATTTAAAAAAGCAGTTGATTATACGACGAGGACCAATTTAAATGACGATTATAATCAGGGATTGGTTGTTCATCTTTCACTTTTTCGTTAACCAGAAACCCACACACCAATTAGGGCCTCTGATTGGTCCTAGTGGCAAATCAGAACTTTCTAGTCAACGACTGCTCCAATATCGAACAAACCTCCTTACAATACCATTTTGGCCAGCTTTCCTATCTTTTAAGTCACAATGACAGACTTGCATCCGCTAGTATCAAAGCTTTTCCGCACGCCTTAAAAATCCCAAACAGAGCAAGTGCATTGTGTTCAGCAAGTCCATATCTGTTTGTCTTGTATGTTCTGTCAATCGACCACACACAACTATCACTGTACTTCCGACATATCTCCTTGGCGATGGGGATAATACCAGCAGGTGAGTAATCTATTGATGTGGGTCAACCTGATAGAAGTGTTCACTTGCTCCCAAAGAGTCCAAGAGATCTAGAAGCGGAGAGCGGCTCGCCAGCATCCTTTTACGATCTGTATGACGCAGATTGTAAACGTCTTGAGCTGTGGCTAAGGCATCATGTTTCTGCCGCAGTGAGGTTACTGTGCGGCCAGGTGTCACTCTAGCACGTGTTAGAGCCAAGACTTCTTGCCGAGCTTCCCATGTCAAAGTGCGTCCCTGTTATTGGGCATACTGGTGGGCAAAAGGCTCGTGGTTGCGTTCTCCATTGACAATTTGTACCTTCCAATCTCCAGCTTCTCCCTGCTGTATACGGGCCTTATATATAGACCGTAATGCGGCTGGGAGCCATATGCTGGCGTGTCTAGCACCTTGGGGTATGACAGGGCGGTTCGACTGGGAGCAAACAAGAATCAAACCTTTTGCATCACCATTTTTTTGTTAACAAACCTTCTTGTGCGTTTGTTAAAAACAGCATAGTCTTCCAGCTGCACATGATCATCAATTGCTGCATTCCCCTCTCTCAGGGAAGCGTCTATAAGCGGCTGAGGGGTGCAAGGCTTTCCGTTGTGGATTAAAAGGGATTAAAGTTGGTCAAAATAGTAGTGCATGGTGGTTGTTATTAGGGGTCAGGGAAGTCGTTGAATATTGAGTTCTAATAGGCCATTAACAAATCAGAGGCCCTAATTTTTGGGGTGGGTGCTGGTTAACAAAAAGGTGAGTGATAAAATATGAAGGTCTATAATTACGACAATAATACTAGCACTGGAGCAATTTGTTCATTCGCTTGTGATGTGTCAATGTTGTGCAAGGATAAATTGCGCAAGAAGTGACGCATTACAGAATCCTGATGTCATTTGTTGCAAGTGATTAAATGTCGCATTATTATTAAATCCATTTGTCAATAATGTATTCACTGCAAATAGGTTTTTGAGTGACTACTACAAGCCACATAGCCAAGCGCATGATGACTTGTAATCGCTTGACAGGCCGTGGAATTTACGCTTTTTCTATCGGCGACATGATGTATGAAAATGATAATGTGATATCTTACGTGGCATTTGAGAATACCATGATGATGGATTTATACTGTAGCAAAGCTACACAGCTCCTTAAGTCATAGGAAGAATTTAACGCTCTTACGATCAAATTTGGTTCTACGAACCCGACTCAAAGCATCAACAGCTAAGAATGCTAAGGTTTGGTTCAAAGAACCCGACTTAAAGAGTCAACAAGCTCAGAGATCTTACGGTCCCTGTTCCAAAGGGACCAAACGATTCAAAGAATCAACGCACAGAGTGCACAAGGAGTATCTGCCTTTACAAGGCGTTGCTACCTCCTCAAACGATCGAAAGACGCCTCAAAGAGGCACGTGTCTTATGTTGGTCAAAAT